TCATTTTTGATTTTTTTGCGACTATAACTTACCCTGCAGGAAGTTAATAATAATAATTATTATCAAATAATCTATGTTTTTTACTTTCCTGAGGAGAAGTTTGATTTCAAGAAAAAAAAAAACAATTTGTTATTTTTATGTTTTCTCGTTTCAACAATCAGCCGTGCCGTTTCTTCTTAATTAGCAGAAAAGTGTAAAAGAAATTATCCACGTTTTAGTCCACATTTTTTAACAGATATTAAAAGTTCATAAACGATTGGAAAGATTGGTTGGGAATCGCGTGAATTTGTTTTTGTTAAAGATCGACCATCGGTTTCTTCCTAATTAATTGTTGAAAATTTCTATTTGATGAATCTCATGAAACTTTGTGTGGCGATAGAGTTCGTATTCTAAAATCACATTCTAGAATATTATAGGCCTACAATAAACGATTGAATTATAAAACTCAACAAAATTTAGAATTTTACACATTCAAGCGATTCTAGTCAGATTCTATGCCTAATCATACGTTTTTTGGCGTTTTGTAGGTAGCTACTGATAACAATTTAAGTCCACACTTAAATCAAATTTTTGTAATTAAACTATGAGATGATAGTTTAGATTGCTGATACTGGACTTTATACTAATCTATGCGAGTATCATCAATGGCTCTAAAATTGTTGAAGTCGGTGCCGTTTTTAAAAAATCGTTGGGGGGCGTCCATTATTCACGTGAGGTTATTAGGGAAGGGGGTTTTGACAAAAAAAATTATGAAATATAAGGTGGAGTGTGAGAGGTATAGTAAGATATCATGTGTAATTATTCTTTACCTAAATTTCTTTAAAAATTCCAAACATTATCGAAAAAAATAAAAAAAATACAAGTTTTTCTCGTAAATACAAATACACGTGATGTTTGGGGAAGGCGTGGGGGGTTCAAAAATCCTTAAAAAATCGATCACGTGATTAATGAACGCTCCTTTGACAAAATGTCAAATTTTGTCCCACAATCACACAAATACTTTTCCAATTATAGTTTCAAACAATTTAGAATGACTCGACTTGTACAATCTCGAAGAACTTAATAATCACCAAAAACTTTATAGTAAAAATGTTCTTTGTCAATAATGCATTTTTAATTATAAATATTACTTATGACTTTTAACTCTTTCGACTCGGATGCCGCCGATATAAATCTCGGAATTCGCGAGTGGAAAGTGTTAATATTTAAAAAAAAAACAGCTACCTTGTGAATGTTATTTTACGTATAGCAATATTTCTTATATGTGCACTTATTTTATCCAATTTAAAATTTTGATTTTTATATATTTTTATTTTTCTAATTTTTAAAATATAAAAAGAATCAATCAATTTTGTGAAATCGGACTAGTGATCCATGGCATTGTGCCTCAAGGTAAGTTGCTGTAAATTCCTCCACCGCAATTCATAATTTTTGATAGCAATAAATTTCTTTCATAATTTCTAAAAAAATAGTTTGAAGATTTTGATTTTTTACGGTATGTTTGGAAACGTTGAACCCCATCAATAAGAATCAATCAAATCGGTTGCTCCGTGCGTTCGAAATTGGGAACGAAAAATTGTATCCTATTGTATGTAACATACATACATATACACACACTAACATATAAATATCACACATACCATACATCAATTATTTCTAAGGTA